ATAAATATAAAAAAGACTGCCGACCAAGTTGTTGATGTGTTAAAAGGTCAGAAGAAAGCTTCGTTATGTGAACAGCTTATATCTGAGAAAATAACTATAAAGACATCTCAATCTGTTGTAGATATTGTTGCCAGCGAGTTAGCTACATTCTCGGCTAGGTCCGGCTGCTCACTGTAATCAAAGTCTGGGTTCTGATCAGGAGAAATTCAAAAAAAATTTAATAATTTCCACTAAATGTATTAGATCAGAAAGTACAATATTTAGTTTAAATAAGAAATAAGAAAAAACGTTGCACCAAAACTATTATACCCTTCACATATATAAAAGATTCCTTACAAGAACTTGATTTTGATGGGTCAGTTTGTATGGCAGCTAGATGCTATAGTGATCCGATCTAAACAATTTTTGCAGAGATTGTACCTTTCCTATTGCAGGTATATGCTATAGTGATCTGCTCTGAAAAATTTCTTCAGAAATTACGTTGTTATTTAGAAAAATAACACATGCCAAATTTCGTGAAGATATCTTCTCAAATGAAAAAGTTTTCCATACAAAAACTTGATTCCGATCGTTCAGTTTGTATGACAGCTATATGCGCAATATTTCATATCAATATCTCAAAGACTGCGGAACTAGTTCGCGTATATATAGATAGACAAACAGACAGACAGACATGGCTAAATCGACTTAGCTCGTACCGCTGAATATTTATATATCTTGTAGAGTGTTCGTGGCACGTGGCAAACTTAATATACCCTGTTCATGGTATAATTAAGTTTTGGTTTAAATAAAGAATATACTTTAAGGGCCTAAAAATTAATTATTTTCATAAAACTTGATATAAGATTTTTCTAACCTAGACCTCGAGATTTTGTAACCAAAATAAAAATCTAAAAATATACTTTGGATACAGAACACAAAATATAATATAATGGGCGTAAAATCTATGTTTCGCCTTCGACCATGAAACAATCAAGAAGTGTTCAAATATGGGCAGACTCATTGAGTAAAAATAACCGACGTAAAGCACTAGAAAAATTATAACGGACAACTGCTCTAAGGGTAGTATCGACATATCGCACAGTTGCAGGCGAAGCGGAAGCACGCCCATCGACTTATTAGCGTTTAAAAGAAAGAAAGTGTGGACACTGAAGACAAGTAACAAATGCCAGCACTACAAAAGAGTAAATGAAGAAAAATACCTTGAAACAATGGCAAACTCGTTGAGACCAGGTAGCTAATCAGAAATCGAAAAGAGTGGTGCAACAGGAAACATGGTGAGGTAGATTTTTTATTACACAGATGTTAGCCGGACACGGAAATTGTACGAAATATCTATATATATCAAATAATGAGAAAAGCATAAGAGCCCCCTTGTGTATACAATGATGCCATCGAGCATGACGCTGAGCACATGTTTTTTTAATACATAAGCTGGCAAACAGAGAGAAATAGCACAATGTAGACAACATTATAACTGTCATGTTTCTAAAGGAGTAAAACTGGAAGAACGTGAACCGTATGGATCATGGTTCCTTACAACAGAGTTTTTTAGTAACCCGCTTGTGTCACATACCTCCCCCGAAAACAAGTTTTAAAATTATAGTTATCGCTGCGAACTTAACCCTAATCGGGACATACTTAATATGACAGCCTAAAAAGATGACCTTGGAATTTAAAAGAAAACTCCGTTCCTTTAAAATTAAGTTTATATTTATACATATTTTAAAGATAGACAACAAAGTGTTTGAAGACAAAAATTAAATATTTTTCGCGCGATCTCCTACTGCGCTAAAACAAGGTCCTCCACATGCTGCAGAGATCCCGGCCTTCTACGTGGTTGAAACCTAAAAAAATTTTCTCTAAAAGATATTATCGGTAATAAAAAATCTAAAAGAGAAATGGTGTTTTTAAAATGTTCAATGTTACCCAAAATATTCATGCATCAAAATCCAATTCTTAATCAGATCAAAAAACTGGTAGGCCATTGTATGGAATATGAAGAACTAAATACAGTACATACACAAAAAAATATTAAAAATGTGTTTGCGCTGTTTAAAAATAAACTGATTGAACTGAGCGGCTACACTTTTTTATAATGGTTTTTAATCGAAATACAAAAAAAAATAAAAACATATGACCAGTATACATTGATTTTATGAAAAATTTCAACTAAAAACCATTTCTCTTTTCTAAAATAAATTTTTTCATATAAATATTTTACAAAGTAGAAACTCTCCATTATATTTAATAAATATTTTATTTACCGACAAAAATATTTTGGCAAAAGTTACACGAATTTACGCTCACAGCAGCGAGAAACTAAATGTTCTAAAATTTTAAAAATTTTTTAATTTAAATTTATTGTTGTTGTACGGCATATTAACACACAAACCATTGCATGTATGCGTTGTCAGACACTTCTTCTAATTTTTTTAGCATTTCACTACTAAGCATGCAAGAGTGCACATGCGAGTATGCGAATATGCGAGAGCGTGTGAGCGTGTGCATCTTTACACTCGCTTCCGGCAAGCGCACTAAATGAATCTCTTCAGCTTTTTAGAGCTTATACTTACTGCTGAACAAGCCATTGCAACTTTTTTTCTTGATTTTACGCTTTAAATTGCTTTCAATGTTTGCTGTTTGCTGTTGCTTCATTCACTCACTACCCCGCTCACATTGCTGGCGGGGTTGTTTGGTTGTTTGAAGTTCACCGTTTGCTATTGGTTGCATGTCAACAACGTAACGGCACAAACGTTCTCAAAAACAACAACGACAAAATATGTTTGCATGTAAATACATATATCGTTTTTTGAATACTTAAACTACAAAGATATGGTAAAAGCTGCAGGCTGATCAGTTAGAAAGAATAGCATTAAGTTAATGATATAATTATTTTCGTTACTTAAGAATGTTCGGAAATATGAAAGATACTTGAAATATTTAAAAACAAAAACAAGAAAATATGTTAACTTCGATTGCACCCTTCACGAATACAAAAGGTTCCTTACAAGAACTTGATTCCGATCGTTAAATTTATATATTATATGCTATAGTAAACCGATCTGAACAATTTCTTCGAAGATTACATCAAAGCTTTAGACAATAACAAGTAACAAATATCGTGAAGATATCTCGTCAAATGAAAGCGTTTTCCATACAAAAACTTGATTCCGATCATTCACTTTGTATGGCAGCTATATGCTATAGTAGGCCGATATTGGCAGTTCCGACAAACGAGCAGCTTCTTGTGGAGAAAAGAACGCAAAAATGCAAAATTTCAGATCGATATCTCAGAAACTCCGGGATATTAATATAATTGGTACTCGCTGCTTTTAAGGAATTAGACCAGTCTACCCTACTACCTACTAGTATACCCTACTCTACGGTCCACACAACCCACCTACCTTTATTCTGAAAGTAAGGACAAAGGAAACATCTTTTTATATGGACATGTTTATATAAAATAGTCTATTTTCAAAGCGCATCTAATTTCTCCTGTGATTCTCGAAACTTGTGCTGTTTGAAGAGGCACACCCAGCATGAAATTTAAAAAAAATCGTTTTCACCATATTTTGATAGTTTATACTTTTAGCAATTACATACAAAAATTTAATATCGATGTCTTAAATAGTTTTTGAGTTACAGCCACTTAAAGGGTAGCTGCTCAGTTCAATCCAGTTCACCATTTTATTTTGAAACACGTTTTTCTCCAAACAACATTTTTCGAATTTGCATGGGTAATAACTCGAAGACAAATGATCCGATCATGATGAAATTGTTTTTCTGCCTGTTCGGTTTTTTGTACTAGTTCAAAATCGAATTTTGATAAGCCAAAAACGACCAAAATTTCGGGTAAAACTCACCTTTTTTTAAAAACGCCGCCATTTTGTTTTTTTCAATTTCTGATTTTTTTGATGAGGTTTGATTTAAACGGCGGGCATCTATTCGTTTAACGAGAAATCGAGAAGGCCAGAATTTTTCTAGCTCCGTCTTAGATCTCGTATAACTCAAAAAATATTAAATTTCTTTTTCAAAAATTTTACTCTGCATTCTTGAAGCATGTATAAATACATATACCCTGAAAATTTCAAAACAATCGATACAGTAGTTTTTCTCCCTTTTAATTCCCAAAAATCTTCGCATTTTAGGCTGTCACACTAGGTGTGCCCCTTAAAACAAAATAAGTACTGTTTTGAGAAGAAAATCCAGGTAGACATTCTTAAGTTATGCACAACCAAAAACCGTCGCCATGGTAGTAGTATGCCCTAATACTAGAGAGCGCACTAAATAAAATTATTTGCTATTAATGAGAGACTAGATTTTCGAAAACTGCAAAAATTTACATAAAACAAATTTTTGTTATACCGTTTTTTGTTTTTTCAATTTCGAATATAACTTTGCAAGAACGTCAAAACGCAGGCACGCTGGTAAACACGAGTTTAAAAACCACATACGCAAACGCTTTGCTGTATTCACTAAGTAGGGACGTGCGAAAAACATATTCAAATAATTTTCTGCTGTTCAGCAGTGATTTCTACAACTCAACGCGCTGCGAGGTCTCCACTTCTTACCAAAAAGCGTAGTAGAAATCTGTTTCGCAAGTTCGTTATCACTGGCGTTTATATTTTATTATGCATTTCCGCATATTCGTATGTACTTATACAAAAGTACGCAAGCACGTTTGCACCAATGCTCGTAACGCGCACACACACACATAGATATATACGCACACATGCACGTTACACTCTATTTTGCAGCGTTCACCTACTTTTCGCAGTTTGTTTAGCACTCAAAATGTTATGTACTGGAAATTCAGCAACGTTAAAATACACAAACACACAGACACAAATGTTTATGTGTTGCATGTGTGAAACGGAAGGTGGGACAGTGGCATGAAACACGAAAATGCATTTTGTTAAATGTATTTCTCTGTTCAGATAAGGAATCACAAAACATGAAAGTAAATGTATATGAAGTCTAAAAGTACTCACCGACATTCCGCGTTGTTACTACCACACCCTCACCGCTGTTATATTAATGCATGACTTGCCTTTGTGTGCCGCAAACACGATAGTAAACGATGTGGCAGTAGTTTTATGTGTGTAACACCGCCGGCTTCAAGTGCTTTCTTGCCGTTTGACTTTTATTTTCGCTCGTCCGATGTATGCATGCGAGTGTGTACGTGTGTGTCTACTCATTTATGCAGCGCTTGACCCACTTGCGCCAGCCAGACAGCCAAGAAAGTGGCGAAGAAATTCAAAGGACCCGCCATGCTGAAGGAATAGCTGAATCGCTGCGAGTATTTTTTAATGCGGAAAAGCACACAAATTTCACTATCGTAAAACATGCAATTTGTTGGCGCTGATAATGTGCAAGTGCTGAAAAAATTATAAAAATATAAAAAATATTAACTAATAACTATGTAAATTGCTCGACTTTTGCTATCATGAAATTAACAAGTACATTATTTGAGTTAATTTATTCGAGAAAATGAGCGCGATGACAGGAAGTTAATAGTTATGAACAAGTAGAGCAAATTTTAAAGTATAAACGAAATAAATTCCCTGAATTTTCAAAAATCAGATTTGGCATACAGATATTTGCATGTCCAATATACATTTCTAATAATTAGACTCACGTTTTGCCTTTTGACTGAAAGTAACTACAGTTTATCTTATCACTGCAAAGATTTCAGAGTAAAATATCCGAGTAGTAGGCAAAACCCACAAGATTGAGTTTTCTGCTGCAGTCAAATTTACAAAACTGCTACGGACCTCAATTTTTACCCGGCTAGGATAATCAAATATAAAGGAAAAGCACAATCAGTTGCCAACAATAGGCTGAGTAAAGCAAGGGTGGCGTTTCAACGATTGCAATCGATCTGGGTGAACTTGCAAATCTGGGTAAACTTGCAAATCTGGGTAAACTTACAAAGAAGCCAGTAGCTATGATTCTTCTTTATTTAATTCTGTTGAACGGAAGCGATAAAGTGCTTATCCCGAATTCCAAACCTCAGACACGCCAACTTTTCGTCGATGATAGCCTACAAATCATTTAAAAACCGAACTCTTTTGAGATAAGCGTATCGTTTACTGACAATGGCTTTCGAAGGTCATAGATTGATAAATAATCACGAGAATCGTGCTTTTATGGAATACGTGAAGGATCAGAGGTGTCGGCCAATCAAAGATTGGTTGGGGGTCAGGAAAATTTTGTTGAGACTGTAAGTAGAAGAAATAAGTAAGAAAGTTCTATGTTTAGTGCAGACGTACATGATACTATATTGTTCTGCAATTTTTAAACATCAAAGTCGTGAAATTGTTTTCAAATATCAACAAGACATCGAAATAAAAAATGTGGCACCTGAGTTCGACACTCGAAATTAGACGAAATTTTTAATCGATTATATATGAACAAGTATATAATATACGGGAGATTTCATAAATTATATTAGAGGAAGCCCTACAAGTCTCCACACGTAATTGGTGCAGTCCTTCGAATCCAGCGTTTGCGAATCAGATAGAGGAGCACTTCGTTTAAAAGAGGCAGCGTTCGACAGAGATCGAACCGAGGGCACCCACAATAAAGAGAATGTGCAGCTGCGAAGCTGAACCTCAATCACGCGGATTACAAGCCGACAGAATATAAAAATATTATGTACGAATCTAAACGTGACCAAAATCGGATTTTAACGCTTCCTCGCCACTTGTAGAGCAAATGTTTTGGCAAAATTGCTATTTTAAAAATTTTTTCTTAGAACAAAATAAGCTCATTGGCCAGTAAAAAAGATGGCATGGAAACGGTGCCATAAATATTTAAAAATCTTAACATTATTTATTGTTCCACTTTTACAAACGATTTTATGAGCATATACTCTAGTAAATACAAAACATTTTCATAGCGGTAGTTATTCCTAATATTATACTATATTGCCTCTGAGAATAATATAATAAAACTACTTAAAATCAAAGGAAAGAACTGCAAAGGCATTACAGTACAGATTTTAATTGCATTTCCTTCTAAAATGCATGCAATCCGAGTAAGTATGTTGTAGAGCTATCCGCATTTACTTGCCATCACTTACAATCACTTCGAGTCAGGAATAGTAATTAACGATGAACACTTACGTAAATATATACACGGCAATATATATTATATAGTAAAGCTTTAAAATGTTATTCCTCACATACATACATTAATACATACATTTATACACCCATATATATATTTTAAATAACTATTTGCTTGCGATTATTATTTTCTTTAGTTGCCGCCAGAGCCAATGTTACAACTTTTGTAATTAACACTTTCCACAATTTAATTGTTTTAATGGCTTTTGCACGTTTAATTTCGAATTTGCATGCTTTGCAGCAATTCGAGCAGAAATTTACGCATTGCATTGCATGCAAATACTCGTGCCAGCGAGCGACTGAGTCGAAGAGGTAGAAACGCAACAGTAATTAGTGTATTGGCTTATAAGTTTTGCGGTGAATTTCTGCTGGAAAATGTGTGTTGCAAGAATTTAACTGAAAAGAGGGGATTTAGTAGTCGGGTTTACTTTAGAGAATGGTTCCAAAGACTAAAGAGCAATCAAGTGTTTAACAACGCAAGCTCTGGTTAGCATCAGGGGGTTTCAGTAGGCATTATGTTTGCATAAGTAAAGCTGTCTATTTATCAAATAAAAGAAATTTAATTAAAAATGGCAAGCTTAAATCAAATAAATCCATTGTTTGTAGAAATTTTGATTATATTTATTTTTAAATATTCAGTACTTAAGCAGTTAAGCCGGACTATTCATGTTTTTTATTCAAAAATTTTACTGGACACTCTGAAAATATGTATAAATATATCCTTCAAATTTTACAATTGACGCAGTATATTTTTATTTTGAATTCTCAAAAATCGCCTTTTAGGCTGTCGCACTAAATGTGCTCATCGAAGGAAATTTCGTTGCCAAAAAAACTATGCGTATGAGCAATTGTTAGCATTGGTTACTGCCACAAAACGTCATCATTTTTGCCACCAAATGCACTCGATTTAGCAGGTAAAAGGCAGTTTTAGACAACACGACTTGATAATTGAAATTAATGTTGCGTATACGCCATGTAAACCGATAAACTCAAAAGAAGGTAAGAAACATTTTCAAGGAAATTTCAAAACGAATAGGCACAAATTATCATTTCTGTACTCATGTATGCATGCATGTGCGTGCTCGTGAATGCCTACTAAGCAAATACTTCTAAGCGTTTGCGAGCAAAGTTAGGCGCGCGTGAAAGCTCCGCTGCATTTGTGACATTTTTTCTGCGCTGGCGAAACTCGTTCCAACTCTGCACGTATACTTTTTCAATTTTTCCGCCTTATTTTTTACTACACCATGACACTTTCTCGGTATATTGCTATTTGTTTCATGCTTGGACTAGTTGTTGAGCGCAACTTTATGGCAATCAACTCTTTTTCCAATAGCTTGGCTGCAACTTTAGCTAGACGCAGCTAATTCAGTCGTTGGCTCAGCACGCAAAAAAGTTGTGGAAGCCAAAAAAGAAAAGTGGAAACTGAAATGAAACGTAAAATGCATTAAAATACTCGATTTATATCAAGCGTTTGCCATACTTTAGCGCTCTCGATTATTAAAGTTTGCACGACCCTTCGGTTTTCTGGCTTCCACCAGCACGCAGAACTATTCATATATGTTTGAAGTACATTTTTTCTGCAATACCACGGTTGCAGTTGGTTAGCTAATTTCGTTGCACGGTAAGTTGCAAGTTGGTTATGTCTTGCTACAAGTACAAAAGAAAAAAAATGAATTTAAAAATAATAATAAAATAAAAAAATTTAAAAAAAATAACAGAAAAGAAGGCGGAAAAAGCTAAGTGTGTGCAGAATTCTTGCACCAAACAACTTTTATTGTCGCATTGAAGTGGCAACATTCACAAGATTGCAACTCGCGCGCTCACGCACACTGCGCCGCACGCCTTTGCGCCTTAAGCTGGCATGAAAAAGTTTTCAGTAAACGCGCTGGCAAGCGCCCGTTCGCACCGTCGCTATCTGCAGTGCCAGACTAAATTTACTGCCGTCAAAATAGCTTCGCTTTAGTCGCTCGCTTCTATGAATTCGCAGGCTAAGCAAATTCTCTAGTTTTTTTCCCAATACAAACTTTGCGCTGCCACTTGCGTCATCGCCGTTGGTAGCTTTGATATTGCTCTGCAGCCAGAACTATTACCAGTGCTTTGGCGAGAGGAAAATTTGGAAATTATATTTTAGTAAGTGCATTCCGGTTTAACCGTAATCTACCATATATAAGCATTCACTCACTTATTGATTTTCCAAAAAATTTTTAAATTATTATATCTACTACATCATTAATAATTGGAGTGCGAAATTTGTCGAAATATCTGAATAGCGGTCAATGCTAATTGTAACTCGCATATATGTATTTACATAGTCTTGCCATAAGTTCTGTTACAAGTTCAAATCGTTAAAAAAATTAAAATATTTTCTTAATAAAGTTCATTTTATTCAATAATGCATATTATTTATATTAAGTGAGCGATGTACAAAACTTTGTTCGAAGTTGTCACTTTTTGCTTTTACACAAGCCCTCAAATGATTCAACCATTTATCAATAGCCGCACGCACAATTTCTGCTCATATTGACGACGTGCTCGAACCAAAGATTTTTTGAGACTCTAAAATTTCTGTGCGGTATTCGATAAACCATATTCTCTAACTTTGATCACAAAGTGTAAACGAATTGATCAAAATCTGGACTGCCAGACCGTCAATCATCTGCAGCTATGAAACCAAGAATATTGATGGTAAACTTTCGTCCCAATTTTAATCCCTTTTTCGCAGAAGTGAAGAGGTATAACATGCTTACAGAAGATTTCCCTTCAGACCATTACAACAGCTGGATGGTGACTATGCTAAATCCCTAGAAACACTTTTTGTGTTTTTCGAATTTTTTGCGTAGATTTTGTCAGCTTGCCTATTAAAACCATCTTCAGCAGTAAATTTTTTTTTTCTGTAAATAGGATACTTTCATGGCCGTTAAATGCATGCAACTTAAGAAGCCTTTTACATCTGTTGAGTCTAATTTGCTTTAAACACGTGGTCAGCAGATGACGGTAGGCTTTGGTGTGGAAATTATCTCGAATAAGTCTTGAGAATGATCTGGTTGATACATATATTAATTAATTTCTTTTGAAAAAATTTTCTAAAGGGATTTCTGCGATTGCGTTCGCGAACAGTTTCAATGGCTGAATTACTTCGAACCACACGAGAACGCCTCTCTTTCTGTCAACAATTGTAGATATTTGGGAAAAACGTTCGAAAGTGCGGTAAACAATAATTTTCGTAATATTCAGTTTTTTGAGAAGCT